GGACACGTCGGGCCGGGGGCGGGAGGGACCCGCGCTCAGCCCGTCGGGCCCGGCCGGCCCGCCGGCCTCTGGCTCCTGCTGGTCCCGTTCCCCGCCTGTCGCGACAGAGGCGATACCGGGCACCCCTGCAGGTCTGAAGGCAGCTCTGTGAGGAGGGGGCAGCCGGAAAGCTGCGGGGTTTAAAGGGGAGAAGGCTCGGTGGTGCGTGGGACGCGTGTGCCTGGGGTGGAGGAGAAGCAGAGCGCGTTTGATGCCGGGCAGCTTCTCTGAACCCGGGCGTGCCGAGCTGCTCCAGAACAAATCCCTTCTGCCTTCACGTGGTCTGTGCCTTGAGCTGCAGAGTCTTGGCCGCGATTTTCATAGAATCCCAGAATCCCAGGGGTTGGAAGGGGCCTGGGAAGATCCCCCAGCCCAGCCCCCCTGCCAGAGCAGGGGCACCCAGAGCACATCACACAGGATCCAGGGGGGTTGGAATGTCTCCAGAGCAGGAGACTCCACAGCCTCTCTGGGCAGCCTGGCCCAGGGCTCTGTCACCCTCACAGCAAAGAAGTTCTTCCTGAGATTCACATGGAACCTCCTGTGCTCCAATTTGCACCCATTACCCCTTGTCCTGTCACTGGCCATCACTGAGAAAAGCCTAACTCCATCTCCCTGACACTCACCCCTTACATATTTGTAACCATGGATGAGGTCACCCCTCATTTTATCATCGTATTATCTGCTCGTATGGATGTCTTGTCAGCTTTCAGTAACACCCCGTGATTCTGGGCTTTTCATGGGCTTTCCTTTGTTTTACAGGGCTTGTCACGTTTGCACTGCTGGCTCTGGAAGGCACGTTCTGCAGGGATGTCAAAGATTGAGAAGATGAGCATCCTCGGAGTGAGGAGTTTCGGGGTCGAGGATAAAGACAAACAGATCATCACTTTTTTTAATCCCTTAACTATTTTGGTGGGGCCAAATGGTGCTGGGAAAACGGTGAGGCCTTGCTCTGTGTTTGCTTTTTGACTTGCAAACTAAAACCTGGTTTTTAGCTCTGAAAGGCTTCAAAACGTGGATGATGATCCCTACAGAAAGGCGTTGATGATATTGCAGATATCTTGATGTTTACTGTCAGTGTTTTGTTGTTCTGCATTCCTGGAGAGCTGCTGTCACTCCAGGATTTTGTAGAAGGAAGTTCATCCAGATCCTGTTACAAACTAGTTTTGCAAAGTACCATAATCTCATGATACTCAAAAAATAAAATGTTATTCTCTGCTCGCCTCTTTAACTCCTTTGTAAATATTTGGGCTGTTTCTGTGGTTTTGTCTGTCCTCCCTCTTGTTTACCAGAAATTGATACTTTTCTGTTTCCTCAGACTATCATTGAATGTCTTAAATATATATCCACTGGTGATTTTCCTCCTGGCACCAAAGGCAACTCGTTTGTTCACGACCCAAAGGTAAAAGTCATAGTGACCAGATTCAATGTGTGTTTATTCCTAAGCCAAATATTTAGCTGCAATCAGTGTTGTGATGAGAACAGGGACACTCAGATTGTAGGCAGATGTGGGCTGGCCATAGTGCTTCAGGAAAAGCAGAGAGCTGGGGGGTGGATTAGAATAGAGCTGGGAAGGCACATATTCTTTGGGATGTTAAGAGTTTCCCTTACTCTTGTTTTTCTGCTGTTTCTACTAAAGGTTGCCAATGAAACAGATGTCAGAGCTCAGATCCGGTTGCAGTTCCGGGATGTCAACGGGGAGCTCATGGCTGTCCAGAGATCCATGGTCTGTACCCAGAAAGGCAAGAAAACAGAATTTAAAACACTGGAAGGTGTCATTACTAGAACAAAGTAAGTTTGTGGGTTTTTTCCTTACTTCCACATGAAGATGGGCTTAGGTATTTTTGTGTATAAGATGAGAAAATTGCAGAATGCATTCCTTGGAGTTGCTACCAGTGCTCTCAGGTTACAGCTGGGTGGGCTCATCACCTTGTGAGCTGGTTCAGAAAGCCTGCATTTCATAGGCACTGCTTGAGAACTATTTATACCTGTTAATTTGCATTTATCTGAAAATGGTATTAATAAAGATGTGGTTTGAAAGTAGCACTGTGTGGAGGATGTAGGCTTATACTTCCCTTTGCACCCTTTTCAGTTTCAGATCATTGTTGGCTCCTGCTTAACTCTGATCTCCACCAATTAAGCTGTGTTCATTTAACTACATCAAGGTTGTTTTTGCTCCCTCCAGTGGTTCTGCATAGATTTAAAATGTGTAGTAACCTTGACTACAAATCCTGACAGTGTTAACTGCATGTGTTGAACATGGCAATTATATGATGAAAAACTGTTACTCCTTAGGTTTTTAACTAGTACATTGCAATTATTCTGTTAAAAATGCAGTGTACTTTTACAATAAATAAGCTGGTTTTCTTCCTGTGTGCTCCACAGGCATGGTGAGAAGGTCAGCCTCAGCTCCAAGTGTGCAGAGATCGATCGGGAGATGATCAGTGCCCTTGGGGTTTCCAAATCAGTGATTAACAATGTCATTTTCTGCCACCAAGAAGAATCCAACTGGCCACTGAGTGAAGGGAAGGCCCTGAAACAAAAATTTGATGAGATTTTTTCAGCGACAAGGTTTGTTTCTCTTTACTGTAATTAAATAAAAACTAAGTAAGGAAATGTCTTCTCCAATACTGTAGGTTTGGATGCAGATGCCCAAGACATCGTTTCATACCTCAGTATTGCTGCATTGCCAGTGGAAACTGAACTTTTGTCTTTTTTAAAGGTATATTAAAGCACTGGAAACTCTCCGTCAGGTACGGCAGAAGCAAGGCTTGAGGGTCAAGGAGTGTCAGACAGAACTGAAGTATCTAAAGCAGAATAAGGAAAAGGCACAGGAAATCCAGGATCATCTTAGCAACAGAGAGGCTCAGCTGGCTGCTTCTAAGGAGAATGTAAAATCAATTGAGAGTCAACTTGATCCTCTACAGGTAACTTGCATGACAATGTTGTTAAGACTTTAACAGAAAAGGATACTTAAGTACTAAAGAACACAGGAAAATGTGAAAGCTGGACAAACTTCTTTGTTAAAATCTTACACTTCTATGCTGTTTCATCTGATCCTCTGCTCTGAAGCAGAACCTCAGCAAGCCTGGCAGATGCTGGTCTAATCTGTAAGCAGTTGTTGGAGGTTTGAGAACATAGTTTGTGAAAGTCTGGTAGTGGCATTGAGGGTTTGTAGCTTAGTTTAAAAATCTCTTTCTCAAATTCAGCTGGTAACTCCAACTATTATAAACAAAAACTAAACTAAAACTTAACCCCCTCTCTTAAAAAAAAAAAGCTGAAGGTTTTATACTTAGACTAACTATTGTATAGAACAATTGGTAATGGGATTTGTAAGCTGGTGATGTATTTTACTTAGAGCCTTCTCTCCTTTGCAGAGCACTCTGGAAGCAGTGGAACAGAATCTCACAAAAGTAATGAGGTTAGACAATGAGGTGAAAGCCCTGGAGAGCAGGAAGAAGCAGATGGAGAAAGATAATCAAGATTTGCAACAGAAGATGGAAAAGGTTGCCTATTAAATCCCGTGCTGCCATCCTTTCTGCTGAGGAATCAGGCTGTGAAATTAGTGTGGTTTTTATTGTGCATTAGATGTTGGTGAAGAACATGTTCACAGCCCACACAGCTCATGTGATTTATCAGATATTGCCAGGATGGCTTAATAAAGCTGTTCTGGTTCCTGTGTAATTTGGGCTAAATTGCTTTTTGGTGACTTTTCCCTCCACCATAGCCTGGCTTGCCAGGAAGGCAAACCTGACATAAGTCTTCCTTAAAGTGATAATGACTGGTAACAGTGCCCTACTTCATGTACCTGGAACATACCTACCTTGCCCTGTGTGGAGATGACAGCAAGCACTTGTTTTGACCAGTGAGGGATGTCTCCTGGTGTTAATATTGTTCATCTCCCTGCAGCTTTTTTCCTTCTCTTAAAATACAAAGTAACTGTCAGTTTTCTGCTGTGATTGTGTCAAGGCATTTCAAACTATTTTGACAAATGGAAATAAATTATTTAATGGTAAAAATTTAGATTAAGTCTTTTATCAGCATAAGAAAACGAGATTTTCTTGTTCCAGTTTTGCTTGTAGCATATTTCATTATTCTCAGTCTATGTCTTAGTACCCAAATTCTGTATGAGAGCTGTTTCTCTCTTATTTCTTGAATTCTCTTATGGTAAAAGCTATGCTTTTTTACAACAACATTAACTAGTTTATAAATGTAGTGAATCCAGAATAAAGTCAGGTTTTTTATATTTGGTGTGCAGGTTTTTCAAGGAACAGATGAACAGCTGAGAGATAGATATGAGAACCACCAGAGGACAGTGAAGGAGAAGGAGAGGAGATTATCAGACTGCAGACGTGAGTTGGACAGAGCCACTAAGGAATGCCAGAGATTTAACAGTGAGAAATCAGAACTACTTATTGAACGAGGTATTTTAGACTTCATCTATAACTTTGTATTTATTTTTAAAAGTAATGAAGACGTGTACTTGAACTACTGAGAAGAATCAAAGGGATTTGAACTGGAAAAACCTTAAAATGTGTGTGAGTTTGGGGCCCCCTGCACAGCATGGTTTGAGACTCCCCCAGGTGGACAGGTCTTAGTGTTTTTCTCCACTTGTTGTTTTGAGGTTTAATTACAACAGATAGTAACTTTCTTCTTAAATGGACCATCCTTTATAAAAATATTCAAAATAGTCAATTTATGGTGGTGTAGAACAGTATCAGTAACAGTTTGCAGCAGGGTTGTTTTCACTGTCTGAGCTTGTACTTTGTTAAGGTGATGAAAAATCTGTGGTTGTTTAAGTGGGTTTGAATCCAGAGAAAATGTGAGAGCTGAATGTTTGGCACATTCTCAGTGTCTCAGGTCAGGCTGGGGACTAGTCAGAGAGCTTTGGGAAGACATTCTTGCATCTATTGTGTATTTTTTGGATGGATTCTGGGAATTGCAGTGAACTGTAGTAGTCGAGACACAGAATTGATGCTACACACAATATGTTTGGGCTCAAGAGGCTTTCTTTGAAATTCTTGCTGCATTTTAGTTACCTGAAATAGCAAACACTCAAGCTGAAGTTTGTTTTTACTCGGGAGTTTTGTGTTGTTTTAAGATACTTTTGTTTCAAAGACTTTAAGGGAATAGTTACAACTGGTTTTGAGTCCTGAGTTGTATCTTCTGCCTCAGGCTTTGAGTGTTTATGTTGCGTTTTCTTTTTGTGGAGGTCGCCTCCAGCTGCAGGCAGATCGTCACCAGGAGCACATCACCACCAGGGATTCCTTAGTGCAGGCTTTGGCAGCACAGCTGGAATTTGATGGGTTTGAGCGAGCACCTTTTAATGACAGGCACATCACCAGCTTTCACAGGCTGCTGAAGGAGAGGCAGGACAGAGATGCAGAAGCTGCAAACCGTTTAATGGTAAGAGTGTTGTTGGTTTAGCAGTGTAGCTGGCACTGCTTTTGAGTGTGTTATGGGTCCATAGGTGTCTTCATGGTGCTGAGAGAAAGAGAATAATTCTAAGGAGGGGAAACTGAAGCCATTTTTGTGGTTCTAGAACAATGGGTTGCCTGAATCTTTCCATAGAAGTTAGTTTTGGGACTGAGAGTAACCATCCAGTGATCTGAATTGCCACATCTATCAAACAGGCAGTTCTTCAGAGGGGCTTTTCTCAACAGTCCTCTCATGCAGGTGGGTCACTGACAAGCTGAAACATCTGAGGAACAGTCACAATGGATATTCAAGATTTTAAACAGGTTTCTGTTCCTACAAGACAATTCAACTATTTATTGTTGACTATTCCTTTTCCCTTTTTTATATCACTTAGTAGCAGAATGTTTGTGTCCTGCTTGACTCTAAAGTCTACCAAAAATGTCAAAATACCAAATGATGAATAATTGTAGGCTTTATTTGTCAAAAGTTGAAAGCTGTTGAATAACTGCACCAGGGGAGGTTTAGATTGGATCTTAGAGGAAACTTCTTCACTGAAAGGGTTATCAAAGACTGGAACAGGCTGCCCAGGGAGGTTGTTAAATCACCATTCCCAGGGTGTTTAAAAGACAAGTAGATGTGGTGCTGAGGGACATGGTTTAACACTGAACTTGGTAGAGCTGGGTTAATGGTTGGACTGGATGATCTGAAAGCTCTTTTTCAACCAGAATTGTTCTGTTCTGTGGTTCTGTAATCAATGGGTTTAAAAACTAAGCCATATTTTGTTGAAGTCATCTTCAAACTGGAGGGGCTGTCCCAGAACACTTCCAGGGTGATGTAGCTGCATTTTCCTGTCCAAATGTTTCAGCAGAGATTTTTTGACAAGTTCTAGTTATCTAAGTATTTCCATGTCTTGTATTACAGTGGTGAATATTTGCAAGCTAGCCTGAAGAAGTGTTTCTAAATGTTTTCCTGTGAAAAAATTACTGAGTATCTGTTTGCTGCCTTCTTTCAGAGAGAATTTGAACGAAAAGAAGCAATGAAACAAAAGCAGATAGATGAAATAAGAGACAAGAAAACAGGATTAGAACGAACCATTGACCTGAAAGCAGACATTCAAAACAAGAAACAAGATGAGCTGAAGAATGTAAAATATGAATTGCAGCAGTTGGAGGGGTTTTCAGACAGAATTCTGGAGCTGAATCAGGAGATTGTCACCACAGTAAGTTAATGGAATTGAAAACTGTGTACAAGTTTGTAGTGAAGGCTTTTGGCATTGTCATAAAACAAACAAAAAACCACAAAAACCTTCTGTGTTTTCTCCATCACACAAACACCACAGCCTGTGTCCTTCTGCATGTGTCCTTACCAGTCTTGTACCTGTCAATTCTCTGACATCTGCGGGAAGCAGGGAAGGGACTTTGTACAAGACCTTGGAGTGAGGACAAGGGAGAATGGATTAAAACTGAAAGAGGGAAGATTTAGGTGAGACATGAGGAGGAAATTCTTGAGTGTGAGGGTGGTGAGCCCCAGGCTGCCGAGGGAAGCTGTGGCTGCCCCATCCCTGGCAGTGTTGAAGGGCAGGTTGGATGGGGCTTGGAGCAACCTGGGCTGGTGGGAGGTGTCCCTGCCCATGCAGGGGGGTTGGAACTGGATGAGCTTTAGGGTCCCTTCCAACCCAAACCATTCTGTAGTTCCATGACAATGATAATGCTGCCAGGCAGCTTGAAGAGCTTTTTTTCCTCATTTCCTTTAGTTAGAATTTTATTGATTTGTGTAATTATTTAAGTGTTCTGGTCTTTCCTTTTTTGCTTAGGAACATGAGCTGGAGAAGGCTGAGAAGAACAGCAGTGTGGAAGCACTGGAACTGGAAGTGCAAACTCTGCAGAATGAGAAAATAAACCTGGACAAAGCTCTGAGGAAGCTGGATCAAGAGATGGAACAGCTGAATCTACATACCCAGACAATTACCCAAGTGGAGATGCTGAAGAGAAACAAAGTAATTTTTCTATCATCATCTCAAAAGAAAGGGGCAATAAATTAACACAGTCCCTTCCAGATCTGTGTGTTTCAGGTGTTTATGAAGTTGTATGTAAAGGTGCTGGCTGGCTTCATAGAAGCCATTAACTCCATGATGCATTGAGGGACATCATCTTAAAGTGATATAAAAATTAATTGAAAATGCTTCATTTCCCCAGGCAGAAAAAGAAGAGCAGATCAGAAAAACAAAATCAAGACATTCTGATGAACTGACATCACTCTTGGGATACTTCCCAAATAAAAACCAACTAGAAGACTGGCTTCATGGTAAAAACAGAAAGATTAATCAGACAAGGGATAATCTTGCTGGCCTGAAGTAGGTATTAATTGAATTGGTTATGTCTCTATAAACATTTATGTAATTATGAATTTAAATATTGGAAAGTGTAATTAGCTTAACGTGCATGTTACTTTAATTCATTATTATTCATTGAGGTATCTACAAAATCAAAGAAAGAAAGCAGATAGCAAATTATTGTTCTGGAGCAGCCTTAGGTAGAGCAGTTTGTTAGAAAGGGTAGGAAACATCAGCACACTGTGCAGGGACACCCCTGAACTTCCACAGAACAAAGCAATCCAAGATTTTAAGTATAACAATGTTGTGTATTTCAGAAGTATGAACAGGAGAAGAAGGATGCTCCCCTTCTTTGCTGTAGAGGTTCAAATAACTGCAATAGAGGAAAAACGTTTTTATTCTATTATTTAGAAAATTTTGTGTGGCTTTGTCTTTAGAAATTGGTTTCTCATCATTAAGCATCTAGAAAACAAAGGGGAATTAAAGTCAAACACTGTATGCTGTACTTAATTTTAAAAAAGATGTTACAGATTTTCTGAGTAATCATTACAGAAGACCTGAGAAGAGCTCTGTAACAGCAATTTCAGGTTAAATTTCCATGGTTTTGGTTTTGCTTGAAAGAGCTGGAAACCTCCTGTAACAGGAGTGTGTGTGTCGATGTTTCAGCAAACGTCTGGCGTCCGTGGAGTGTCACAGAACTTATGTCAGCACTGAGCTCAGGAGGAAAGAAGAGCAGTTGTCCCTTAATGAAGAAAGACTTCTGGATGTTTGTGGAAGCCAGGATTTCGAGAGTGATCTGAGCAAACTTCAGGATGAAATTGAGAAGAGCTCAAAGCAGCGAGGTAAGTTCTGCTCAGCTCTGCTTCTCAGCCTAAAGCTTGTTTGATGTGTAAGCCACGGGGGGAGCCTGTTGCTTGCACAGGACAAACAGCACACAAACTGACTTAAGGGGGGTCTGTACTGAATCTGACTGGTTTTTAACAATTTCAGTTAGTCAGGATCAGGTGGTGTAATTCCTTCAGTTGATTCTCTTCTTGTCTGTAAGTGAAGTATCTGGTTGGGTTTATGGTAATTCCTTCAGTTGACTCTTATTATCTGTAAGTGAAGTATCTGGTTGGGTTTATGGCAAATGTAGATCAAAGCTGAGATGTTTGATCTGCTGGCTGTGAGAATAAGTACAGAGCCAACTGTTGGGTGTGAGTTACCAAGGGAGAAATAGTAATTTCTGAAGGAAATTCTTATTTTTGGTGTTAATTACAGAGGGATCAGCGTGGTTCAATAGAAGAGGATAATCTAGGTTGGTGAGAGCTCCAGGAAATTCTCTGGGCAGCCTGCTGAAGGCAGGGGCAGCACTGAATCCAGACCAGGGTGCTTAGGGCTGCTCCAGTTTCCTGCCTTGGTGATTTTGTGGGTTAGAATTTTGTCTGACTTAGGGTAAATACTTTACCTACTTCTGGTTATGCACTGTACATAAAACCTCATGTCTCTTTTTAACCCAGCTGTGCTTGCTGGAGCCACTGCAGTTTATTCCCAGTTCATTACCCAGATGACAGAGGAGAACCAGTCATGCTGTCCCGTGTGTCAGAGGGTTTTTCAGACAGAGGCTGAGCTGCAAGATGTAATTAGTGACCTGCAGTCTAAGCTGCGTCTTGCTCCAGACAAACTGAAGTCAACAGAGTCTGAGCTTAAAAGAAAAGAGAAAAAACGGGATGAAATGATGAGTCTCAAACCACTTAGGTAAAGTGCCATGTTGTTGTGAGCTTTTCTCTTACCTTCCTGTTTTTTTGATTATTATAAATTATGCTGACATCAAGGAAGCTTTGTTTTAGGGCTAGTTAATTCATTCAAAAATTTCCTTCTTGTGATAAGTATTTTGCTAGCATTTGTTCTCGACTCCTTGGAACTTAAAAAGTGGTTGTATATTGACTTTTCTACCACTTATTTACACTATACAGACATGCTTCCCCTCCTTGGTTTTTATCATTGTAGTTTAAAATGCACAGGCTGCTTTTGTTGACCCTCCAATGTTTTCATACCATGTCACCATAACTATATTCCTTAAAAATGCTGAAATGGAAGTTGTGTAGACATAAGGGGAGCTGCACCTACACTGACACTTTAATAATCTTGATTTATATCTCTGTTAGCAATAGTTTTTGTTCCTGGTAGTTTTGTATGGATTGTGATGCTCTAGAAAGACATCTGTGTATTTTATAGTGGATTCTCAAGGCCATTAATGTTTCCTTGAGGTTCATTCATGTGCAGTTCCATCGTTTGGGAAAGCATCTCTGTCTCTGATAACCTGTATTAGATCTGACTGAATTTATTCCTTTAGTTATTTAATTAACAAATTGAGAAAAGGTGCCTACAGTATTTTCCAGTTTCTGGGCTGAATTATTCTGCATTTTTCATGCTATGAAAATACTAGACAGGCTGTTTTGTTGTTGCTTCCCTTTTCTCTTGCTGTTGCCTCCCTCTAAAACAGAAACAGTCATCACCAGCTCTAAAGAGTTTTTGTCCTGTTTCTTTCTTAGCATATGAAAAGCATTTAAAATAAGAGTGTGCAGGTTTCCTGGCAGTGGGTGAAGAGGCTTCAGTCTCAAGAAATTTACAGACTGTTCTGAGAGAAATTTGGAGAATGAAGAAGTTAGGAGGGTGGACCTTTCCTTCACAAGAGGGCACTCTTGCATGCTGAGTTTAGACCCTGTCAGGAGCACTAAGTTTAAAACCAAGAGATTTTGTTTCCTACTTTCTTCCATCTCATGTGTCTAAAACGAGGGACGTGTCACCTTAACTGGGTGTGTAACATCAACCTCACTGAACGTGAGCAAGATGATTTGGGGTAAATTTAGTCTTCCATTATTAAATCATATCACAGACTTTGTGATCTTGAATATCTTACGTTTGTGCTGCTGTTTTTGACAAGGGAAATTGTATGGATTTGTTTTATTTAAGGCAAACTGTAGTTGAACTCCAGGAGAGGGACATCCCAGACTTGAGGAACAAGCTACAGAGTGCCAACAGGGAATTAACAGCCCTGAAGAGTGAGATAGAAGAACAGGAATCCCTCTTGCAGACAGCTTTGTCTGAGGAGAAGGGTGCCAAGGCATGTTTACAGGATGTAACACTAATGGAGAGATACCAGGTATGCTTTGGGAATTTCTTTTAATATCTAAAATGATACTCACTTGCTGGCATTTAAATATGTGGTTATTCAGTAGTCTGACAAAACCTAGAGGTCTTGAGTCTTTTCAAGCAAAGTAAAAATACTTTAGAAGACAGAATACCATAGGGGATCTTGTAAAACTTTGGGCTCTATGTACTGATACATTGTTAAACACTAATGCAGTGCTAATAGCACTTTTCCTCCTACTTTCAGGCTGATATTAGGGATGATGAACGAAAAATTGCTCAGCAGGAGGCAAAGCTGCTGGGGGTTGATTTGACTAGAACTGTTCTGCAAGTAAGCCAAGAAAAACAGGAGAAAAAACACTTGTGGGATACAGGTAGGTCATTCAAAACTGTTCTTTCATTTTTATATTGAAAATAATGTTCTAAACTTGCTGCCATTAAAGTATTAAGCTTTAATGTCCTTATTTTACATTCTGAAATGACAGTATTCTAAGTTTGTGGGTTGATTTTTTTTGGTGAGATGAAACAACAGCTTTAATGTAGAGTTACATTTTCATAAGGAAGACAGTCCATGTTGTTCATATCAGACTGACTGTTTAACTCTGTGTTTGTTTTCACTACAGTTACTGGTAAAATCGAGTTAAACCAAAAACTCAAGCAAGACCAGCAGAGTCAGATCCAGCAGCTAAAAAGTGCAGTTAATGAGCTCAAAGCAGAGAAACTTCAGATTTCCAGCAAAATGCAGCGGCGCCAACAACTGGAGGAACAAACAGTGGAATTAACCACTGAAGTTCAGGCCTTATACAGGGAGATCAAGGTAGGAAATACTCTTGATTGTTAACCCTTAGAGCTTTGTTGTCCTGGGGAAAAAATCCAATCATATTATATTTAACATGGTCTGTAATCCTAGCAAATGGGATGTGTTTTTAAACCTTTGTCCTGTTCTGCTATGGGATATCTTGGGGAATTTCCAGAGCTTTATTAACACATATTTTCATAACATCAGCCAAAAAAAGAAAAAAGTAACCACGTGGCTTCTTTTACCACTTGAAAAATTGTTGGTCTTTAGCAGAAGGAGGAAATAAAGAGGACTTTCTCCAACTGCTTTTCAGGAAGCGAAAGAACAGGTATTTCCTTTGGATGCAACTTTAGAAAAACTGCAGCAGGAGAAGGAGGATCTAATGAATAAAAAGACTGCAAGTAATAAGGAAACACAAGAGAAGGTTTGTTTGCTTTTGGCCTAGCTGGGAGATGGGACTGTTTATGTTCAGGCATGGATGGAAGCCATGGGAATGAATTCCCAGCAGTGACTTCAAAGGAATGGTTTAGACTTGTGCAACTTTAGGGAGAAAAAGGAACTTAACTCAGTCAGGAGGTGACCTCGATTGTAATTAACCTTCAAATGGCTTCTAGGGACATTGGGGAACATTTAGTGGCCAAGGGAATTAAAAGCCCATTTCAGTAGATCTAAGAGAACTATCCAGGATGATGGTCACCTGTCCTTGCCAAGAGACAAACCTGTTCTCAGGTGAAGTGGCCCTCTGGTGTAAGCACAAATGTGCCATTTGCATTGGCAAATGTTTTTGTGGTAATGAGGGTTTAAAAAGCTGAAGGCTTTACTAGTAAATTAAAGGCAGTTATGAAAAGGAATTGTACTTAAACAACAGTGTTATCTGGTGCCTGATTTTTGATACAGAGTTTATCAGTTCTTGGACATGCAACTGCATTTCATTTGAAATATTTTCTCTGCAGATAAATGGCATAAAAGAGAAAGTTAAAGATATAAACAAGTATGTGAAAGAGATTGAAAACTACATTCAACAAGGAAAAGAAGAGTATAAAAAGGTAACCTAAAAGCCAGTCAATAAAAAGTTGACATCAAAAGCACTCATGTGCTTAAGTTGTATGTCATTTTATTTCTTTAGCAAAAGGAGTCTGAACTTGATGAAGTGAATTCTCAGTTAGCTGCCTGTGAGAGACAGAAGGAGAAGATAAGTAAAGAGATGGAAATGATTCGACAAGACATCGACACCCAAAAGGTAGGTGTGTTGTTTTACAGTAAAGTCAACTTGAAACAATTTCTGGGTTTGGTTTAAATCTGCCCAGGTTTGTAGTGGTGCAGAGTTTGTCTGCTCCTGATTTACTCAATCAGAATAGCTGCTACACATGGAGTAGGCTGAAAAAAGGCTTGAGATTTGACTGTGCAAAAGTAGATGGATTTAGAAAAGCGTTTGACTCAGTTTGTGGTGTTTCTAAAAGGCTAAGTCTGTTGGGATAGTAGCCAGCATTTTCAAAAGTGTGAGGAATACCTGCCTTCTGACATAAGGTACCATGTTGCAGCTACCACAAGTTGTTAGTTTACTTCAGGTTCTTGTCATGTACTTGTGTATCTATTTCCAATGCTGGTTACCTTCCTTACAGGAAGGGTCACTTCTCCCCATTCTGCCTCACCTCTTCCTCTCCAGAACCTGGAAAGGTGAGATGGGGACTTGGTTAAATCTCATCCTAAATTAGTTGCCCAGTTTGAAACATGGATGAATATTTGCACACAGGTTCACTGCCTGTGGCAGTAAATAGTGTAGCAATTCACTGAAACCTGGTACAAGTTCTTGCTCTCTGTGGAGGCAGGTCCAGGAGAGGTGGCTGCAGGACAACCTGACCCTGAGGCAGCGGAACGAAGAGCTGAAAGGGGTTGAAGACAAAATCAAACACTTCATGAAGGAAATGGGAGAGATGAAAGTTCCACAAATGAAAAAGTAAGCATCTTCAGAACAGAGCAGTGTGCTTTGCACAGGATTTCACTGAGGGTCTGAATGTCACATTGGCTGTGGTTTAGGGTGCTTCCCGGCCCACCTTTCTCCCCATCCATGTAAATATTTTCCTCTTTCCAACTCATCCTTGCATAATATCCCCATGAGAACACAGAAATGACCCAGTGAAAGGAGATGGTGCACATCTCTGTGCACCTGTGCATGTACCTGTTCCACTCTGCTCCAGTTTCTTTAGTGACTTCCACTGGTAAATCCACATTTAAAAAAATAATGTAAGTCTCTGGATAAGAATATTTAGTTTTCATTTTCAGTCTGCTCATTTAGGTCTCAGCAGCAAGTGTTATGTTTATTTCAGTAGTTTAATATTCATTGCTCAGATAAGACACACTTTTGAAAAGAAATCAGCCCTGTACTAATTCTTGTGTGTGAACCATTATTCAGCTTCCTAGAGGTTACCCAATTAATTAATCTTACTTTGCTCAGTGTCCTAATTCAATTCCATCTATGAAATTAATTATTTTATGTGTTTCTATGTCTAGTACTTTGGCATTTGAGTTTGATAACTTGCCTCTCCCACTCTGACTAGTGATTTCAATGTGTTTTTAACACACTTTAAAATATTTTCATTTCAATAATGTCACTAATTTCTGTGACATTTAGTGCTGCTTTAACTGTTACTGACTTTGTAGATACAATACAATGAGTTGCTGTCTAACACAAACTGATTTTAAAACTGTGAGATACTAAATACAAAAGGCCTGTGTGTCAATTATGGTTTCACAGTGAAAAAAAGCACTTAGAGGAGCAAATAGAATCCCTGAAAAGAAACCATCATGTTGCACTTGGCCGGCAACGGGGGTTTGAGGAAGAGATTCTCCGGTTTAAAAAGGAGCTTCGAGACTCCCAGTTCAAAGATGCAGAGGAGAAATACAGGGAGATGATGATTGTCATGAGAACCACAGAGCTGGCAAACAAAGATCTGGACCTTTATTACAAGGCTCTTGATAAGTAAGTACTGTTGTGTGAGGGTAATTCTGGCTTTATTATTATGGATCACCTTGGCGCAAAAGCTGCTGGAAAAGGGAGCACAGAAGAGATGTGGCTGAGGATGGAGTGTCATGCTGAATAGATGGGAACTTTCAAGTTGAGGAGACAGATCTAAGTGGTTATTAAACACAGTGATATAGAGGAACCCCATTTTAAGCAGTTTTAATGATATAATAAATACGTTTAGTATTAGAATGTAAACTCACCCAAAATATATTTTGGAAGATTGAAATTGTTGAGAACGTGTTTAGTTCTTCCCTTTCAGCTTAAATGGAAATGCACTCCAAGAATTTTCCTTTTTAGAATTCAGAAGCTTTTTGTGTAGTATCAAATCATCTATTGTTTCTATTTAAGGCAAAGCAGGAAATCAGTCTTGTCATTTCAAGAAGCATAGATCAGCATCACTTATTGGTAATCAGCTGAAAAATCGGTGAGAGAAACATTATCTCTAATGGCCAGAGATTGAAACCTGCATCTGTAGATGGGAAAACCAACACTCTGCTATCAATTGATCCTTATCAACTTCAATATTTAGAGGCTTGTGATAAGTATTGATGAGGAATGCATTCTTTAGTTTACTTGTGTCAGTAGTTGAAAATACTTTCTTCTTTGCTCAGACTTAACAGACCCTGTTATAGTTGGTACTCCAGGATACCCCAGAACAGGTGGAAAAAATTCCTGTAAGAGGGGAGGTAGGAAAAGTATAGGTAAAAGTCCATTTCAGAAGAGTAATTTATTTCCACCATGTTTTTAGAAAGAAGGCAGTGGCATAAACTGAGCAAGCATTTCTTTCATTACAGAGCACTTTTGCTATGGAAGGCAAGTTAGAAATGTCCTTTCCTGAATGCTTTCATTAGGAATCATTTATTAATTAACCAGGGAAATTAAATTGAAACTTAATGCCAGTGCCTCTAGTTATTATGTCTACTTGGGTAATTATAAATTCAATTCCAATACAGAATTCTCTGCTCTGAAAAAACTTGACAGGTTCTCCTTTCCTCCTGAGGCCCAGTTATGTGCTCTGCTGGGGACAGTTCCAATGAACTTTTATGTTGGACTTCACATGAGATTCATCTTCTTAGTGTCAGTGTGAAAATGGACCTGACAGAAACTACAAATCTCTTAACAAGTCAAGTAAAGGTGCTCTCCATGGAGTGACTAACTGCAAGGCTCCTTGTCTTCACTACTCTGCTACCTCTTGAGGCTGAGCTGTTTCTGAGAGTAGAATTACACAAGGGAGTGTTTAATCTTCAGCTACTTCTGCAACAAACTAGTACTTGCTACATTTTTAGTTAAGTTATTTAGGGCATGGAAAGGGAGCTTCTGCCTGCCTTAAAGCTTCTGTAGTCCATAGCAGTCCATGGCTGCACCTCTAACAATTTGCACTTCTTGTTGTTGTTCTTTAGAGCAATAATGACATTTCACAGCATGAAGATGGAAGAAATCAATAAAATCATTCGTGACCTTTGGCGAAGTACCTACAGAGGACAAGGTTTGTAATTCTGGGTAGTTTTGCCCATAGGTAACATTTGGTACTGAGCACTGGTCACTGAAAAGTGTTTGTTCAAAGTATTGAAAATCCAGGATCTAAAGAGAGTTGGCTCCATTCTAAAGGCTACACCACTTGGTCACCATTATAGTATCTTTCACTGCACATTATGTAGTTGATTACAGGATCAACAGAGGTAATTTTACCTGGTTTCCAAAGCTCTGGTTTCTTTGAGACAGGGAAACTACATGAGTTAATTCCTTCAGTTTTGGAAAACGTAATTTCAAAGATGTATCTATGAGTGGGAGTCCTGAAGAACATCTTTGATGGTTTCTGCATATCCTGCCTCTCAGCTCTGTTTAATCCTATGATACTTTCAAAAGTTTTTGATCATGTAAAAACCCTCTCCTTCTTATTTTCAGATATTGAATATATAGAAATTCGTTCAGATGCAGATGAGAATGTCTCAGCCTCTGATAAAAGAAGAAGTTACAATTACAGAGTAGTCATGATCAAGGGGGACACAGCACTGGACATGCGAGGGAGGTGCAGTGCTGGGCAGAAGGTAACACCCTGTTGGAGTGTGTAGTGAAGCCTGAGGTGAATGTGGGAGAGCACTGCCCTGAGGTGACCCTGAACTGGCTCCAACTCTAATACACAAAGTGCACAGCTTCCCTTCTCTGCAGCTGGGTTTTCCTCAGAGTATGCAATGTGTGAGTCTGAACATCTGAACCTGTGTGGTGGTGTAGCTGGGGAGTGGTCTGAGTCCCTGCAGGAGTGAAGGCTTCAGCTTCCCTCTCCTCAAGTCCAGTGTCTCTCACTAGTGACCACTAAGGTTCCCACAGCTTTAGGTCTGTTGCCTTCCTCCCATATTTCTTCCTCCCTGAGGGCTGGCCCTTGGTCTTCTTTTCAGAACTGCATCTGCCTTTGCCCTGTATTTCTCCAGCTGGGCCTCAGCCCTGGCTGCCAGCTGTGGGCTCTGCCCTCTGCCCATTCAGTGATCTCAGTACCAGAATAATTCCCACTGGCCACAGGGCCTGAGCTCTCACCTGCCTCGACCAGGGGTTCATCCCAGTTCATCACTCCTCTTTCACATACTGGGGCTTGGGAGGTTTTGTTTCCAGCTGACATGTTGTGACACAGCATCTAAAATATTCCTCAGCAAGAGAAAAGAATCAGCCTTGTTCCTCCACCTCCAAAATCACCATCTGTACTGATTTTTTTAATTATTTTTTTTAAGAGCTGAGATATGTTAAACATAATACCTGTAGCCATTTGACACCTGGCATATTGGTTATGCAGCTTGGGCAGCCAAAGCTACCTACAGCAGGAAGCTGCTGCTTCCTTAGATGTCTGGCCAGCAAGAGCAGGGAGGTGATGGTGCCTCAGTGCTGGGCACTGGTGAGGCTGCACCTCCAGCACTGGGGGCAGTTCTGGGCCAGTCACTAAGGACATGGAGGGCCTGGAGCTTGTCCAGAGGAGAGACACCAAGCTGGGGAAGGGACTGGAGAACAAGTCCTGTGAGGAGTGGCTGAGGGAGCTGGGATGTTTAGTTTGGAGAAGAGGAGGCTGAGGGGAGACCTCATTGACCTTTCTGCCTGAAAGGGTTGTAGTGAGGTGGGTGTTGGTCTCTTCTCCCAAGTGAGTAACAACAGGACCAGGGGAAATGACCTGAAGTTGTGGCAGGAGAGGTTTAGATTGGGTATTAGAAAGAATTTCTATACTGAAAGAGCAGAGGGAGGTGGTTGAGTCACCATCCCTGGAGGTATTCAAGAAACATGTAGATGTGGCACTTCAGAGTGCTGCTCTCCATCTTCGGTAAGTCATGGGTAACAGGAGAGGTGCCTGAGGACTGGAGGACAGCAAATGTCACACCAGTCTACAAGAAGGGCAAGAAGGAGAACCTGGGTAAGGGGAGATGGAGTTAGGCTTTTCTCAGTGATGACCAGTGACAGGACAAGGGGTAATGGGAGCAAATTGGAGCATAGGAGGTTCAAGGTGAATATCTGAAAAAAACTTCTTTGCTGTGAGAGTGCCAGAGCCCTGGGCCAGGCTGCCCAGGGAGGCTGTGGAGTCTCCTTCTCTGGAGACATTCCAACCCACCTGGATCCTGTGTGATGTGCTCTGGGTGCCCCTGCTCTGGCAAGGGGGTTGGGCTGGGTTGAGCTTTCGAGGTCCCTTCCAACTCCTAGAATTCTATGATTCAGAGCAATTTCTAGTGGCTGAGGTTGTAGGGGGTTTTTGTGGGTGTTTTTTGGTGGAGTGTGTGTGGTTGGTTTTGTTTGTTTGATTTTTTTGGGTGTGTGTGTTGGTGGTTGGACTCGGTGATCTCAGAGGTCCTTTCCACCCATGGTGATTCAGTGAAACGTTTCCACCAGAACAAGTGACTTTGCTAAATGCAGATTTAGTAGAAAGAGACAAAGATGCAGCCAGGGCTGCTCTTATTTCTTCCCTGCTGGGATCCTTGGTGCTCTGTAAATAGAAGCCCTGGAGAGCTCTCCCAGACACTTAAGGGTCTCTGTGCAAGGTGCCAGTGACAATCCAGCCTGAGGACACTACAGCTGTGTGAGGAGATGCCTTCTCCTTCCTCCTCTGCTGGAGCTTTCTGCCCCCCTTCCCTCTGCAGTAGGTGAGGGGGCTGTGATGGCAGAACCTACAGATTTCTCTGTTGAGAAAGAATCAACATTATCTGAAGTAACAACCTGCAACTTCCTTACCTCCAGAGTAGAAATTCCCACTGTGTTGCTCACTGCAGCAGAATTCCACTGGCAGCCAGGCCTTTTCCAGGAGCAGATGGTACAGACTGGTAAAAAAAAATGAAATCAAAGAATGGAACAAAATGATACATGATATTTTTAAGTGCTGAGATCAACAGAATCATGGAAGGATACTCCATGAGGGGATGAATCCTGTGTTGTTGCTTGAATATGAAAAATACTGTCAAATTAATTCCCACCTAAGTGTAATTTTGAAAATTCCATACTAATTCTGGGGGAAATCCAAACCTGAGAAAACAGCAGTATAGGCAAAAGTTGTGTCCTCTCCTCAGGTGTAGTCTGGGATGTTAACGTTAGAGCCCAATGTAAATGAGAGTGAAACTTGTTCATAGGTTCTTAATTTACATTCTGAGAATTCTTTGATCATGAGCTGCGATGCCAGCAGTCGTGATAGTTGGAAAGTATTTCTGGCAGCACAGTTTCCATCATGTGTTCTCTGATTTTCAGTAGTTCAGGAGATCTAATAATTCTGTGATCAGGCACATTGATACAAAACTAACTTGTAAGGTGGGAAATCTGGTTCCCTCAGTTGCAGGGAGGTGACAGGAGCTCAGTCACTGCCCCCCTGCTGCCTGTAGAAACCTAGGGGCTGCAGGGGAGTGCGGAGGGGAGGGGAATCACCCCGGGTTGGAACCCTTACTTCTCCTGACTTTTGATGATTTGACTTCTCACTGTGTTTTCCCAACAGTGCTTTGTAGAACTGATATTCAAACTTGAAGTTTTAATGTGGGTCTTTTTTGTCTGTAACATTAGTAATTGACGTTTTGTCACCCGCACCTTGTTGTGTAAACTTCAGTCAGTTTGTGAGGGCACGATAAGCACCATCTTACATGTAGTTCCTCTAGAAACACTTCAAAGAGTGAGACTTAAGTGGTGTTTGGGTGGGTTTTTTTCCCCTTAGGTTCTTGCTTCTCTCATCATCCGTCTGGCTCTAGCAGAAACATTCTGTCTCAACTGTGGCATTTTGGCCCTGGACGAGCCAACCACCAACCTGGATCGCGAGAACATCGAGTCTCTCGCACATGCCCTGGTGGAGTAAGTGATCTCTTCTTGGACAGCTTCAAGATGGGGAGTTTTCAAGTGTTAACAGTAGCCAGCAGAGGGGAATTAATAATGTTTTAACCTGGCATGTCTTTGTTGGCATCTGCAGTTAAACATGCAGAGCTGTAGTTTTAGATTCTTCATTTGGAAAAGGAAAAATACTTATTAAATAGTCTGGGATTTTTTTGTGTGGGTAAAAAGAGTTGCTGAGCTGCTTTAGATTGCTTGGCAGTTTATCATTCATTATCAGTAGTTAAGTATTTTTGTCCTATGTGTTTTCACATTCTATAAAAGTAGAATGTGGTTTAGCTGAGCATTAAGTAAATGATCTCTCTTTGTAGGATAATAAAAAGCCGCTCCCAGCAGCGTAACTTTCAGCTTCTGGTGATAACTCATGATGAGGATTTTGTTGAACTTCTGGGCCGTTCTGAATACGTGGAAACGTTCTACAGGATAAAGAAGAACATTGACCAGTGCTCTGAGATCATGAAATGCAGCGTCAGCTCCCTGGGCTCCTATGTCCATTAGAATTTAAATTACAGATTGTAGACTGGCTCAGCTGCCAGAGCTCAAATGAAGGCAGCTGAAAATACAGTTCCTTCTGCTAGAGACTGAAACTGTTAGACTTTTAACCTTTGGTTCTTTCTGCATCATTCTGTGCCTGGGTTTAAGAGTCACCATCAGTTGGAAGAATTTTAATGAGTACAAGGCAGTTAACTTTTAGATGTATCTTACTCTTTACAAGTGAAAATAAAGTCGTGATGTTCTTTGTGTATGTCCTGGTGAGGAGATCCAGATGCAGGTTCTTTGGCACAGCTGCAGCTCTGGCCAGAGAATGGGGCTTGGTCTCCAGCCTGAGGGCAAGTTCATGGCTGAGTTCTGACTCTCCAGCCAAAGGATGTTTGTAGCTCTCTGCCCAGTCTGCACAAGATTCAAAAAGAACTTGTACTGCTTCCTCTACCAGGCAACATTACTCTGTTCAAAGACAGAATCTTGAGAAAGTGAAACAGTTTTCTACAGAAGAAAGGGAAGTGCCACTTCTGACTAGATGGAGTGGATGACAGCAGCATTTTTTAACCATATTCTCATCACTCACTGTGATCTACCTGCTGCTTTGAGATGATGACATTCATGAGAGTTATGTCATACTCCATGGGGTACAGTCAAGTTCTGTGAGGCTGATACAAAACTGCCTCAGAGAATTAATTCCTGAGCATGCTGAGCTTTCCCTGCACCATTCAGGGTTCTTCCTGAAGCTCTTTTTGGCAGAGCAACACCCCATGGCCTTGCAGAACCCAGGGCCAGGGGAACCTGCTGCTCTGACTGAAGGCCCCAGGGATGGCACCACTGCAGCCTGCAAAGGTCCCCAGGTTCTGAGGTTTCAGACAGGGGTTCCTCAGTGTGCCTGAAGACATCAGGCCCTGAGGGAGGAGATGTCTGTGTCTCTGTTTCTTCAGAACCACTAAAGGGAAAACCTCTTTGACCTGGAACTCTGGGTACATGTCCACAAGCAGAAGCTGGACTTGGGCCTCTCTAAGTCCCTGCAGAGAGCAGTGACTGGCTGAGCCTCTGTAGCAGCATGTGAGCAGAGCTCAAAAAAGCTAATTTCAGTAACACCAGGTTCTGCTGAGCCCCTTACCCTAAACCATCCCACTGCCACCACCTTCTAGAGGGTCTGGATCTACACCAGAAAGGACAAAACCAAGTGTCCCAGGTCTGATCCTTAATCCCAATGTTCTTCAGCCTTCTGAGTGGACTCAGCAGCAGGTGCTGGCAGGGGCACCACCAGGTGCTGAGCACTGAGACAAAGGATGGTTTCCACCTGAGTTTTCTGAAACTGCAAGTCACCAGCCTCAGGGTGGCCCCAGCCACCGGGAAACCACTCAGAGATAAGCAATGAATGGGACTTCCTAGCAACCCTGGGCTTGCTCCAATCCCCTGAAAAAGCAGCAAACCCTGAGCTGGGGAAGAGAGGAGGCGAAGGAAAATGCTACCAACACACACTACGTTTGCAGTTTTACACAAGAAACTTCACTGTCTCGAGTACAACTTCCTGAAGGGGAATTTTTTGTAAAGATACAATCAACAGAAAAAAAAAATAATAAAAAATGACACAATTTTCAGATTTTCCTGCACAACCTGTTTATTTTAGCATGACACATACATCCCAGCTGATGAAGAGTTACATTCTCTTCTGAAGCAGCTCCCCAGCCCAGCATGGGTTGCAATCCCTCTATAATCTGGGCACATTTTTGCCTAAACTCAGCCCTTCTCAGCTCTCCAGATGCAAAGTTTATCCTCTCACACGCACTCTGGGGATGAAACTTTTTTGCCAGAACTCCAGGAAAAATCCAGAAAAGGTGGTGGGAAACTAACCTCCCCTATGTCAAGTGTCACTATTAAAATGACAAGAAATAATGATATAATGATGATATAATGATAATGATAATAATGATATAATGATGGTTTTTCACACCTGTGATGTGAATGTGGATGGCTCCTCTGTAGCCATCAGAGACCCCTCCAGCCCAGTGGTTTGCTGTGGAGTGGGAAACAAAAAGAAGATGAGCTTTTGAATTGAGTAGAGGAGAAGCTTTCAACACTTGCAGGGTGTGCTGCTGCTCCTGGGCACCCTGGGACAGAGGATGGTGGGTCTGGAGCAGCAGCACCCACAGGAGCCAGGGCAGCCGGGCGCTGGGACACCAAGGGCATCCCTGCTCTGAGGCAGCTTCCTGCCTTGGCCCACGGGTGATGGGTGATGGATGACCACCCAGCTGCTGCCTGTGGTCCTGGCCTGCTCCTCTCGAGCTCCATCCTGCAGCTGGAGGGCTGGGGGTCAGGGTGGCAAGAGGAGCAGAGAAGTAGGAGAAGGGGTTGTCGCCCTCACTGACAGACGTGTTGCGAGGTTCACACCACCTGTAGGACAGAACCACACACATTTTAAGGTAAGTCGGGCACAGACTCAGTGCAGTGACTCCTCGGGCAGGTGACAGAGCAGTGCAGAAACTCCCTTTTGCCTCAGCTCCACCCAAAATACCAGGTGGAGCTGAGGTGACGTCCAGCGCAGAAGAGCTGCTGGGCAGCACCTGCCCTCTGTGCAGCAAACCCAGACCCTTCCCAGGCACCACCACAGCCAGACACTCCCTCAGCCCCTGATTTAAGAAGCAAAACTGACCACTGCCAATAACCTGGGAGGCTGTCAGCACAGTCAGTGTGGCTGTAGAGGGCTCAAGAGCCAGGAACCAGGTGGCTGCCAAGCAGGCACCAGCACCCTCCAAGGTACCCAGTGCCTTCCCAGCCTGGGAAGTGTTGGGAATGGGGCTGTGGGTGGAAATCCCCTCTCAGGGGTTTGCTCTGCCTGAAGCCCCAGCCCTGGCACAGCCCCCTGAGCCAGGGGGGCAGCAGCAGGCAGAGGGCTCCTGCAGGACCACCCTCCTCGTGCCACATCATTTGGTTCTCCAGGAACTCATGTTGGGTTTATCTGCACTTCACAAGCAAAGTGCCAACTGCTTTCACTAGAAATAATACTTTTCTGAAAGGGTCTGAAGGACATTCCTGTTTGAACAACCTTGTTTCTAAGTGGAATTTGTATCAGTAGTGGGAAACCAATACTTTGATTCCCTGATGCTCCATCAGTGTTCCTCACAGAAGCTGATAATGGGAGCTCTGCTGAGAGGGTGCTCTAAAGACACCTGCTTGGCCCAAAGCACCTTGGCTGCTTAAAAATTCAGAGAAGATGAGTTTTTAAAATTATTTCTTTTTTTAATTATTTTTTTTTGCCAGCAAAACTGTTTTCTGACCTACCTGAAATAAAAGTAGTGACTTACATCACACAGAACTTGCTAGTCCCAGGAGCTACAGCTGCATCAAGCCCCTGCCCAGGCAGGCCCAGCCCCAGGTCCTGCTCACCAGGCTTCAGGCAGAGAGGTTTTGCATGCCCTAAAAATTAAAAATAAAATCAATAACTAGAAAGAGATGTTATTATCTACAAACAGATACCACAAACCAAAGCAATAAATACAGATGATGCTTTCAACAGCTTAATCACTTAATGTCTCCCTGTAACTCTGCTAACATTTAAATGTCAGACTAAATATCATTTCTCATCTATTTCAGTATGACAGTTTATTTACTACCCCCCCTCCCCAGGGTGAGCTGCCAGGAGCCAGGGCTGATTCTCTAGTTACTGCAAGAATACACCACCAGGAAATGTGATGCAGTTTGCAAAGGCTCCTTCGTCTGGCTTCATCCTACTCCATGTAATTCAATTTATGCAGAAAAAGCCCATTTCTGTGGCTGCAGCAGCTCTGGAGCCCCAGGTTGGCTCAGCACCAGGCAGCCCAGCCCAGCACAGGGTCTGAAACACTTCTAGGCTGTAAACTCAGCCACTGATCCAAAAGATACTACATATGCTGATGCTAGACATTGCCTGGTGACCCACATTTGGGTTTTTTTTTCATCTTATAAAATGTTATATTTGGCTTCTTCACTATCTTCTGAAAGTGAGGAACAGCAAACAGCCTGGAGGAAGAGTTGTGGCTTCTCCATGAGGATTTCATAAAGGCAAAGCTGGAATTGACTCAGAAACAAGATGATGGTCCAGTAGGGTAATCCAAAATCAGGCCATCAAGAATTACAGAGGAGAAGAGTTTGTTGGTTACATCCCAGCTCCACTGCAGCAGCCACTGGGCCCTGTGGGTTCTGATGCTGGTTCTTAGTTGCCTCGTCCTGTCCCTCCATAAAACCCAGGACTTGGAGCAGCCAGGACAGACGTAGGGAAGGACCCAGCTCCTAAAGCAGGGGTGATGCAGCCCAGGTCATCCTTAGCTCAAACAGCCAGGCAGAGGTGCCAGGTAGAGGTGCCAAGCACCAAAGGAAACAGCCAGAGGTGAAGAGGGGGATGCACCCTGGGAATGGCCTGGGAGGAATCCCAGGGCTGCTCCCCATCATGGCCAAGAGCACCTGGGTGGGAAAACTGCTCTTCCTCCTGTGCCTGCCTGGTACTGAGGAAAAACTTCTGCCTATTTAACTGGAAAGGCACCAGCTCAGCCCACCTCAAATCATGGACTGTAGCTTCCCAGTTTCCTACAGAGCCAGGACTGTGAAGGTGGCACTGCCAAGGCTGCTGCAGCCCCTGCAGCTCTGACCCTCCCACCATCCACACCTGGGTCTGCCCAGGGGTTTCCATCCAGCCCACCCGTGTGCAGTGATGCTGCCCCACAGCTCCAGCCTGCCCTGCTGCTCTTCATTGCTGTGTGCTGACTGTGGGCAGCCAACCTTGGCTTGGGGGCTTGAAAAAAAAGATAAAAGGGCCTTGACTTTGGCCACAGAACAAAGGAAAAATTCTGCTTTCAGTTGCCCCAGGGGTGTCTTCAGCTGGTTCCTCTATTTTCTGGTGCTACCATCTACCAATGCAGCTATAGAAAGGTCCAACCAGAACCAGCCCAGTGTGCAACTTTGCCCCCTTCCCCAGCCTGTCCTCCAAGTGAGAGCAAGAGGACCCCAGCAGGAAAAAAGAATCACAACAC